GCTACACAGTGCTACACGGGAAAATAAAAAGGAAGGGGCCGCGGCATGTAGCAAAAAGCGCTACACCGTAGACTTGTGTACAAACCCGCTGCTACACAGTGCTACACGGGAAAATGAAAAAGGAAGGGGCCGCGGCGTGTAGCAAAAAGTGCTACACCATAGACTTGTGCACAAACCCGCTGCTACACAGTGCTACATGGGAAAATGAACAAAGAAGGGGTCAGGGCGTGTAGCAAAAAAATGCTACACCATAGACTTGCGCACGAACCCGCTGCTACACAGTGCTACACGGGAACATGAAAAAGGAAGGGGCCGCGGCGTGTAGCAAAAAGTGCTACACCATTGACTTGTGCACAAACCCGCTGCTACACAGTGCTACACGGGAAAATGAAAAAGGAAGGGGCCGCGGCGTGTAGCAAAAAGTGCTACACCATAGACTTGTGCACAAACCCGCTGCTACACAGTGCTATACAGGAAAATGAACAAAGAAGGGGTCAGGGCGTGTAGCAAAAAAATGCTACACCATAGACTTGCGCACGAACCCGCTGCTACGCAGTGTTACAAGTGAGTCAGTTCTGTTCTAAGCGTACACGGATACATGTATGTGATGCTTTCATAGCGTACATGTACCTGTGAACTTTTGCTCGTTAATGCGCATGCTCAGTTCTGCAGCAGAGTAGCGGTGCTACAAGGAAGACCGTGTGGATTCGGCCGTCTCATTTCTGGCTGCATATGCAGATTTTATACAAATTTAGGCAATAAGATTTTGCAACTAAAAAATTAAATGCACAGAGTAATTTAAAAAAAAAAGTGGTGTAATTAAAGACCCTTACGAAGCATTGAATGATGGAGCTAAATTGGCAGAACTTCTCTTGTTCAGACTTCCAAGACTACTGGTCCTCTTCAAGGTACTTGAAAATCCAGGGTCTGAAATCCAAAGAATACTATTTACTTTTACCAGTCTTAATTAAAATAACTGCAGTATCTGCTTTGAAATGTTGTAAAACTTCTACCCTTTGCCATTTTCCCTGTGATTACTGCCTCGGCTACAATGGTTGTAGGTCTGGCTGCTAACAGAAAAGATGCCAAGTTTACAAGGGATTTTGCCAAGTAAAGTGGGAGTACCGAAATGTTCAATACGCCGACACGAAATTGAGTATACAGATGTTTTACTAAGGATGGATCGGGAGTGAGAGTCCATGCCACACTAGTGGGGCTAAACACAGTGCAGGCCTACTGTCTGACTGTGACAGACCCATCCAACCGCCATCCGGAAAAACGCAGGCCGTGTCCATGACCATGACCATGACCAAGCAACGTCAATGTGCAAACACTCAAGTGGTCAGGACCATGTTGACAGTTACCATGATCATATTCATACACACGTACGTCGTGATGTTCAAAACAGTCGGGCTTGTCGAGTGTTAATTCTTCCCCACGAACATGGAAATTTCATATCTAAATCAAACTGTAACAATACAGCTTTATACAGGAACAATCTAAAGTACCTCGTGCGGACTTCGTTGGATTTCTGAATCTTGCCATGCTTGAAATAGAAGACATTTTTGCACTGAACTCAACAAGAACAAGAGCAGAATTCGGCTGCAGTCGACGCTATGGCGTCCAGCGCGTTATTAGCAACATGTACCCTCTAGCTTACTAAAAAAAAAGATGACAATAATAATAATACAACCATGATGAAGATTAAATTAATAGCTTGGAAAAATATCCGATTAAATTTAAGTTTGAAAGAATAGAAAAGAAACACTGATAAATTTATTTCATTATTACTTCTTTTGAAGAACAAGTGATGAAGTTAATCATTGTCCTTTTATAAGTAGCATATGTAGTAGTTGACTTCATGCATTGTATGTTAGTCTCTGGCTAGCTCTCTGCATCTGGAGGAGAGGCTAACATAAAGGTTAAAGGTCAGTTTCAAGAAAAAATCTAGTTTCCCTGTATGTAATATATTATACTAATAAGACTTCTTCGGGGAAGTGTGTTGACCAGACTATGTATGTGGGTAGGACTACCCGGGTGGATCGCCAAATTGTGTCAGTCCAATCCGAGTCCTCGATAATGGCATTTTTGCAACAGGTAAAGTGTTTTCAATTTGATCTGTGGATCAATCATGATACTTGTTCTTTTTTAGATTGAAAAGGTAGTTCCGCTCAGAATAAATATTGTGGGATTTTATAAAATGGGTTAATCATGAGCGGGGTCACCCAGCACATGCGCATGCCTGACTAAAATTAAGCTAGGCCTAGTCGCTAGTACAGTGACGATTTGGGGTTAGCTCGTACCTGAGTTAAGTCGTACCCCGGTCAAGTCGTACTCCAGTCAAGTCGGACCCCAGTCAAGTCGTACCCCAGTCAAGTCGTAATCCAGTCAAGTCGTACTCCAGTCAAGTCGTACTCCAGTCAAGTCGTAACCCAGTCAAGTCGTAACCCAGTCAAGTCGTACTCCAGTCAAATCATACCCCAGTCAAGTCATACCCTAGCCAACTCGTACCCTCGATGAGGATAACAGTTGTTTTTTCCCCTTTTTACTCCAAACGGTTTAATTTTATTAATGATTACAATCATGTTTGTTTTTATGTTCGGTATACGATAATTTTTCCTCCCCTTTTGCACTTAATTATTATTATATACTCATAATTGATTATTTATTGTAAGCCTATTAATGATTACAAGTTTTTATTGGATGTGCGACCGATGGTAGGTGCTATAGCGTATTTCCAAAAATCGCTCCTTGTCCCCAAAAGAAGCTGTGACATCAACAGTTGAACCATACCATCAGACATGTCAGAGAATATTTACTGATTTTATTAATTCAAATTAATCAAGCCAAACAAGAAGCTGACATCAACCATACATGTTCGATCAAAGTATATTCACTGATTTGATTAATTCAAATTAAGCAAGCCAAACTAGAAGCTGTCATTAACCATACATGTTCGAACAGAGTACATGTATGTTCTAAATCCCAAAAGAAAAAATCTTCATTTTCCCCTAAACAAGCCTATTATGAGTGGTACCCATTTTTTTAAACAAGGACGTTTAACATTGATTTTTTTCTTCTTACAAACTTTTGAATATGTATATGTTATTTTGACACCGTTTCTGATGTACTCTGCATTCATCTCTGACTCAACAGGTTTCTCTCAAATGACATCATTTCCTATTTGTCACGTGCATCAGCTTTTTTACTTCCATTTTTGTGGCATGCATCAGCTGCGCCATATTTGAAGATGTTTGCATCAGCTTGTGTGCTATTTTAGAACATTTTGCACACCGTGCGCACATGCACCTGTTAGAGTTACATGTACATGTATATATGCACACGCCATTTTCCTACAAAGATGCTGTCTAATGAGAGAGATCTATTAGCAGGCCTTTCAGAAATACTACAAAGAAAATTATCAATTGGTTTTTGACCCCATAGCACCATGCATGAAATGCATGGCTTGTTTGCCATCCAAGCCCATGCCATGATGCAGCACTGAAGAATGTCAAAATGGTTCGTTACATTTATCGTCAGGTTTATTGCCAAATAATGTAATAACATACCTTTATTTATGATTAACCTTTCAGTGGAAGCGATTAAACTTCTTTGATAAGGAAGTAGTGAAGACACCCGGCACAAGTGAGATTTTCACCAGTCTTAAGGTAACTGTACATGCCATAAGGGTTCACTATACATGTAGGTCTATTATTCACCAGTAATCTGTTTTAATGGGAAACTTGGAGGCCCTTAGTGCCAGTAAACATACGCTGTACCGGTCCTTTGTAGCAGTTCTGAGCATGCACTCGTTGTGTTGAGCATGCGTGATACATGTAGTTCTGAGCACGCGCCATGCTGTGGAAAAGGATTGGCTTGTCTGCTGCCACCAGCATCTCAAAGTCTCTCATTGATTTCGTGTACAGCTGTGCAAAATTCATAAAATCTAATTGGAAGTAGAAATGTCTTTCATCCTCCTCATTTTTTTCATATTAGCCTCAAAAGTCCAAGAATTATTTGCTAGCAGTCAAATTGCATTTGACAGCAAGTTTGACTTCCTCATTCCAGGACATAGACATCACAGCTTGCGCCAGTGGGCGTGGCCAAGTGACTCTCGGGGACTCGGATGGCAACCTCTTCTTTCTGGATCGGAACCTGGACATCTCAGAGTTCCGGGCCTATGAGCTGCGAGTGACCCACCTCTGTCAGCTGAAACAGCACAACATCTTGGTGTCTATAGGGGTGAGTCCAGCCAGCTGAGCATTTCCCAGGAAGGATTGTATTATTCATTTGATAGCAGTGAAGACACACAAAGAGCATCCCACAAACCTTAAAATCATGTGGCTAGATCAGCGTACTTGAAAGAAAGTCTCGAACAGTCATCTGAGGAAATGCCATTATTGTATCAGTACCAAGCTCACAAACACATTACCAAACTTCAGCACATACACACTTTAAGAAGTCACAACACCCAGATGGTCGAAGGGGAATGTTGTGTGCAAGCCACCAGCAAGGAAATGTGGTGTCACCGTAGTAATGGCTTCTATACAGTCTATGGCTATGTCCAAATGACTTGGCTACGGCTGGAAATTATGCACGAGTCTGTAGTAGTAGTGGCAGCCAGTGAGCATAGAATTGTGTGTAATTTCAAGCCGCACCCAAATTACCCAAGTGATTCAAACGCAGCCCAAATAACCCTAAATGTAATGTTAGTGGCATAGGTTAGGATTGAATTATTCATTTTAATATTTATGTTGCAACCTTATTTCCATACATGAACAGGGTGTCCAACCCAACATAAAGGTGAATAACGTTGAAAAATGAGTTTAAAAATATTTTGATGAATATGCAATAGTCCCTCATGCATTTTTCATTAACAGCAAGATGAGCCAGGGATAAACCCCATCATCAAGGTGTGGAACCTGGACAAGCAGGACAAGATGCGCCACCCCACCTGCTCGCGCATCACGAGGGCGCTGCCCGGCAGTAACCAGCCCTCCCAAGTCTCGGCCCTGACCGTCAGCGAGACACTGACAATGATGGCCATCGGCTTCCAGGACGGGAGTGTGACACTCATCCGAGGGGACGTCACACGAGACAGGTCAGTGTGCCGATGGAGTACATGTCAGAATTTACTTGGGTATATCTTAAAACTCAGGTTTCTCCCCAACTTTGGATTCATTTCTAACCTCGGAACCATTGGTAGGACTTGACACTACTTCATGCAGAGTACATGTAAACTCAGTCTGACTATCTATATGCACACAGGCAGAGCTGACATGTTGAAACGTTAATTGCTCCTTGGCTTGCCTCCAAGGATGTCTAATTGAGCTAACCTCTGATTTTTTGTGTACACATGTTGTGGTGGACCTTGCGTTAATCTTGAAATAGCCACCGTGCAGGGCCTGTTGTGGTAGCAAGTATCGCTCTATGGGTGCACCCCAAAATGTTGACAAATATGAGGTTACCGCAAAAAATTTCATACAAATAACTCAAATTGACTCTTGTGAATCAGTGTTTGTGGTATTTGGCTGCTGTTGTCTGCATATATTTGTCAACATTCAAATTTGTTGGCTACAAATAGTACATTGGCATTTTTTAATGGTCAGGCCAAATGTCAAGACTGCTGTTCGTCATACAATTTGATTCTTGACACAAAACATAAACAATGTCAAAGCCAAAGACAAAAGAGGAGGTTTGAGAAATGGTCATAATTGGTTAATCTTTAGTCCCGCCAACAGAGCACTATCACCTGGAATTTGCCCTTGGTCAGAATTCACTTTTGAAGCCGATAATGAATCGGTTGGTTTTGACGATATCTAGACTAGCTATGCACACACTTTCACATGCTTATTCAGTTTCTCCTTCAACTTGTCCCTCACCTAGGCACAACAAGTTTAAGACCATCTACCAGGACAAGACACCAGTCACAGGACTGGGGTTCCGCCACACACAGCGGAACACTGTACTCTTTGTTGCCACTGAAACCAGCGTGAGCTCCTTCAACCTGAGTGGAAAGGACCCTCACCGAGTAAGTGGTATCAGAAGATTTTTTTCTCCCCATTATCCGTCAGTAGGGGCTTTGTTGATGATTTTACCCCCCCCATGAGAACTCCAGGATGTTAACCGAGTGAAGACACAAACTCCTAAATTCTCATCAGCTTTGAATAATCAACCCCTTACCCAATGTCCGTTTAGATAGCTGAACGCAGTGTACAGTAGTTTTCAAATCACAAAGCCTGCCTAATCGATTAAAGAAAATCTTATAGGGAAACGATTGTCAGGTCTTATTTTGGAATTCACCTGTTACCCTTTTAGCATCCATTAGGTATGGTGGCACTGAAGGGACATAAAAGATACACATTCTTTTCAAGACTTCGCAAAATCTTTTCACATTACAAATTTGATCACAGGTATTGCCGGTGTTTTTTAAAACATTGCATGTGATAGCGTATATCTTGTATAAATGTTGAACAACCATAATTAGACCTTTCCAAATCCGTATTGAAGGCGCCAGCCATGTGCACGATGAAGTAAGTAAGTTTGAATTACTTCTTTGTGGCCAGAAATGATTCACCAGTCTATTGTAATGGCCGCAGCCAGTTCCCATAAAGTTGTATGTATTTCAAGCCACTGCCAAGTGATTCGGAGCAGACTTCATCTTAGATGCTGTTGGTTCTAAAGATTATGGGGCTGGATTTAACAAGTTGGTCTTTGGAAGAGTATAAGGTCATCACCGGTATGTAGTGCAGTCAACCACAGTGCTTCTAAACTCATAAGCTTGATGGAGACACAGTGATCAGTCTATTCAGGGACCTCCCTGTTAGTATGGCACTTCAGGCTTCATGTGTAGGAACAAATAAATGGAGTTAACCAAGAGCAGAAGAGTTACCAATTGCTGTATCCAGGGAATAATTCTAACATTCGAGGTCTTTGGGGGTTATTTTGACTGCAGGAGGTACTGGATTTGCACGGCTGCCCTCTGCGCTGCTCCATAATGAGTGATGCCACACAGGATAACCAGTTCGTCATGGGAAGAGAAGACGTAAGTTGATGTTCTGCTGAAACCAGTTTCGTAGAGCTGCTAAGTACTGGAAAAGTTTTGCTTAGCAAAAGCTAGGTACCAGCCAGAATTGGATTGTGACTGCTTAGTGGGATACGGTCCATTTTCTATTCTGCTGCATCATGAAATCTGACATCTCGTAATTGTGTTTGACCTCTCAGTTCCACACAAACTAGACAACTATCCAGCATGTAGATGAACCCCTTTGCATTCAAATCTCTGTATTGCTTGATTCAGCTTGGTTTAAGGTTAACCTTAAAAAGGCTGGAGTTTTTTTTTTACCTTTTCCCACCCTTTTTAGGCAAATTCTAAACATTATCGGTTTGGAGACACTCCTTTAACCAACATTTTGCTAAGTTCTGCCAACTCTCAATATGGCATCTTTTCCCAGGCGGTGTATTTTTACCAGCCGGATGGCCGTGGTCCCTGCCTGGCCTTCGAGGGCCAGAAGACTCTTCTTTATTGGTACCGTGGCTACCTGGTGGTGGTCACCAAAGACAGCAAAATGCTCTCCCGCAACCTTGGCGCGTGAGTAACTTCATCATTTGGTAATGAGAAAAGATGGAAGTAGGGTGTGGGAGTTTTCGCAGTAGTGTCTGTGTTTTATGAATCAAAAGGTTGCAGTTTTTTTTCTAGCAGCTATGTTCTAGGTTAAGATCTCCTCCATCCTTTGTAATAACCCTTCAAAATTTTAACAACCTGTGAATTTCTTGCCCTAGATGATACCTGTAACACTCAACTTGCCATTAGTTGAGGAAAACTCATCACGAAGACAGGCTAAGGATGCCCTTGTTTTATTAAGATCCCAACCCATCTCTACACCTTTGCATATGTCACTTCTGAGCCAATATCGACACTGTACTCATGAAACTTTTGAGGTTTACCAAGGCCTCAGATGGCTCGTCACTTTCTCTCAATTTATCCAATTCCTTCCACTGTTTAGTTCTGGACAACAGTTGGTCATGGACACGGTGACAGTCTACGACATTCAGAACAAATTTATTGGTAAGTTTTGATATGTATAATAGTCATTTCTGCACCAAAACTTTCAAGCGTTTAGGGTGCAACTTCTTGCATTGTTGTTTCATGTGATTTTTAACTTAGAATTTCATCTTTAGTTTTGGTTGTTAGGGCATGAGGTTTAGGGATGTTCAAGGACAGGCATAGCCTCTAGTTTTTTTTCTTCTTCTTCTTCCTCTTCCCTTTCTGCTTCTTCACAGCTTATTTGGCCCCAGTACCAGAAGTGCTGGATGTTTTTCAGGAATGGGGTTCACTCTACGTGCTTGGTGGGGACAGAAAGGTTAGCAACAAATTTTATGCCCTCTACAAGACATTCTGAAGGCATATGAGTTACTGATTGCCACAAAATGAGTTTAAGGCCATTTTGTGTATGAAGGTTTGTTTCAGTGTGGAATTGATAGAGCAAACTGAGCTCTGTTGCTTTGATGTATTAGTCAGGGTCCTAATGAATATGAACATCATGATGATGAGAGATGATGAGAGATGTGAGGGTTCCTGTGGATTCTCACCGTGCAAGATTAATTTTCAAGATGTAAAACTTGAAAGTGGCTCTGGAGACCTGCAACTCATTTTTTTTATGTTGGTCACATTTTGGATCAGAGACTTTAAGTTTCCGACATAATAAGAATGTTAGTTTGAGAGCCGGAGACCCAACTAATCAAGAGATTTTCAAGGGGGGAGAGGGGAGCAATTGAACGGAAGATTGGTTTGAAATTGTTTCTTTGTCTTTCCAGCTGTATCATCTTCAAGAGAAGGACACACAGACCAAGTTGGAGATCCTCTTCAAGAAAAATCTGTACAGTCTGGCTATCAAGTAAGTGTCTGATTTGGCAGGTTGTTGGACAGACAGTCTATGCTTACGTAGTGTCATTGTGTGCATTACAAAAGGCCACACAGCATGCAATGGCCTGTGCTAGTGCCAAAATTTGCTGCCATTGTAGGACAGCTAAGACGCCCTCTAGTGGAAAAAGTATCAGATGATATTATGGGATGGCAGGTTAAAGGAGCATGGTGGACCAAAGTTTTTCAATCTTTTGTTTTCTACTTTAATATTTGTGTGTTTTTGGGCTTCGTACAGAATCAGGAACTTTTTTTAAATTGTAAAAACTTCCTATTACCTGTTAGGCAAAGCGAAGCAAGTGAAATGAACTATGAATGAAGGTCCTTGAGATTGAACTGTATATGTACATCAATTGTATGAACTAGTGTTTACTCCTTTTCAAGCAATTGGGGCATTGGAAACTTAATATTAGGCCAACCCCTATCCATCAAACACATTCGGGATATCACTACAGAGGTGGACAATTTGGAAATCTGGAAAGGGCCCAAAATGGACGTACGTACAACCTACAACAGTACAAGTGTCCACCAGACATGTTGGCTGTAGTTGTTGCTAAAAACATGAAAAGAGTACTCTAGTTTACTTGCTGAAAATGTTGTATAATCTTTGCCCATCTTATTGTTATTATCGCCAGTCTTGCCAAAAGCCAGCATTATGACTACGATGGCTTAATTGATATCTTCACCCAATATGGTGACCATCTCTATAGTAAGGGGGACCATGATGGGGCCATATCTCAGTACATCCGCACCATTGGTCACCTGGAACCCTCCTATGTCATCCGAAAGGTGAGGTACCGATGACTGAACGTGGATCGGGTCTCACAGAATGAGTCCTTAGGCCAGTCCTTTTGTTTTAGTTTGCATTAGAAAGGGCAGTGTTGAGTTCTTGTTTTGATGCAGTGCGACATCCCGATGAAAGTGGACAACATGTTGACAAGATGATTCAAGGATTACTGCTTATTGTACATTGTGCCAGATTCTTTTAAAAGGCCTCTTGCACAAAAGTAGCTCTAGTGACTTGCAATTCATCTGGTAAGGTTTGGTTTGATATCATTAAACATCCCAGTGTTGATTAGGGAATTTTTTTTTCATTCACCATGTACTACAAACAGTACTGAGATTGGAGCATACTGTGTATTGGATATGATGATATGAGTGAAATCCTTTGTTCAAACAATTTCTTAAAACTTTTTCAGTGTTTAGAGAATTGATGAATTTATGTACAAGGGAAACATTAAGCGCATCTGTCATGGGATAGCAAAGACATTAAGTGGACTGAAACCTTTTCTCTTCTGTCAGAAGTTCAAAAATCTTTTTTCACGGCTTTCATTAATCTGAAATTCCATGAATTGTGCAAAAGTATTTAAAAGACTGAAGGGTTTTGACCTAAAATTTTCAGATCCTTTCGCATTCTATGATAAGGTTTTGAGTGATTTTGTAAGATTTAGGAGGGTAGAGCCCAGCCACTGTTAGTTACATAGGGCTTGACGTTCCTTGAGAGTTTAAGTGCGTGTCATACATGTACATTTCGTACACTGTAGAAGATTTGGAAAGATTCACAAAGATCACTTTCAGGAATGCACAAAGAACTAGAGTTAAGCTCAACACGGGAGCCTTTTTTACCTGATAGTTTCTTGACGCTCAGCGGATCCACAACCTGACAGCCTACTTGCAGGCCCTGCACAAGCAATCTCTGGCCAATGAGGACCACACCACATTACTACTTAACTGCTACACCAAGCTCAAGGACAACAGTAAGCTGGATGAGTTTATCATGGTGAGTCCCTTACAAGAGCCTGTCGTTTCGCATTTCAATAGTTCGCTGCCCCATTGCTGCAAGGCATTTTTCCCATTTCAAAATCCAGTGACCATGCTAATGCTATCACTGGTCATTTACATGTACAATGGCCCCCGCTTATGGCTATAAGCATTACGATAACTTGTATAGGGCCACTTTTCTGTGAAAGTCGCTCAACACAAAACCACAGTTTTATGTATGCTCTCCATCATTGAATGGACCATGTGGAATGACCAGTCAAATGTCACTGAATTTTTTTCCAAATCTTTTTTAGTTTGTCGTGCAAACAGTTTGACACTAGTTTTTCTAAAACTTTGGGTGTTCCATTTGATGAAAAAGGTCTCATTTTTATCCCACAGTACTGTAAATCTGAAGGATTACCTCGATTGTACATTGCAAAATGCTTGTTTATTAACCCCTTCTCACCGGGAAGCTATTTCAGGTATTATCCTCGGCCCACGCTCAAGCAAACACGGTGAAAGAAGGCATACCCTGGCTCTTCTATATATGGTGATTGGCCTTTGTTTGTTGCCAAGAAATGAAAAGGCTGAATTTGCATCATAATCACCAGCTTCACAATAGTCCCCACTTTGAAAAGAGGCAACGGGAATGTGGAAGCGTGAAAAGAGCCGCATGCCACCGAACAATCTGCCTTTTCACTGTGTAAATCAAAGTGTGCAGAGCACGCAGGGCCACAAACTGAGAATTTGCGGTTTGGCAGGTGGCCTTTGTGGCCAAGCGAGGCTGGAATTCTGTGAGTCGGCTTTTAGAAAAAAGTCCTGGCATCAAGGGGTTAATGGTCATTTGAATTATTAATTACCATAAATTACCAATGCAGCTGAAACTTTGCAGATGTATAAAGTGTCAATGTCTCTAAATGCCTTTTAAGTTGCTATTAAATCAGGCATTACGTGATCGATGTCTGAAGTGGGCAAAAGTTTTCTGAAAATATGTATTAGCTGATCTTGACATCTTTCCTTCACAAACGTGGACACGAATTTCCTACTATCTTAGTCCCCCCCGTCAGTCCATATTAACTTGTAACTACCCAAGTAGTAATAGAGCAGAAGTAATCGGAAACCACAACCGTCAGATTGTACAACATTTTTCTCCCAATATTTTCTTTAACAGACCAAAGACAAAGAGGTGGACTTTGACGTTGAGACAGCCATCAAGGTCTGTCGGCAGGCCGGCTACTATAAGCATGCCTTGTTCTTAGCCGAAAAGCACAGCCAGCATGACTGGTACCTTAAGGTGCAGCTGGAGGACATCAAGGACTACCAGAAGGCGCTCACCTACATTGCCAAGCTGGAATTCTTTGAGGTGAGGATCTGGGTAGTCATGGGGGAGGGGGAAAGCAGCAAAGTTTAAAAGATAAAGTTGACTTAGCAGCACCTGAAGGTGTAGTTATACCTACCAGAAGGTGATGGCGGACATTGCCGAGATGGAGTTCTTCCAGTGAGCAGGGGTGAGTTTGGAGGCAGTGAGACAGTGAAAGGTAGCACCTTTGGTACTAATAGTACCTCAAGGTGCACTTAGAAGGCTTTCAACCTACATAACCTGGTTGGAGAGTTCTGATATATGTTATACACTGGTTGGACTTATAAAAATATAAATATGGAATATAAAAATGCACTTTAACAGCGAGTTCATTAAGGTGCAGCTTAAGGATTCCATCAGAAGCATTGACCTTTTATTAATCTGTATTGGTAGTTTTGCAAGGTGAGGATGGGTTGTTTTTGGAAAGTAAAGCCAAGAAAGATAGAATAAAATGACTAAATGGAACTGTAAGAAAGATAGCAAAACCACACTTAACTGAACATAAATTGCATCTGGGTCGCACCTTAAGGTGCAGCTTGAGGACATAAGAAAGAATTGAACTGTTTGTCAATATGTACTTCTTTAGGTAAGGATTGGTGGTTTTGGGATGCCAAAGGCCAGAAAGAGTGGAAGAAATGGTCTTAATAAAACTCTAATAGCATCTTAAGGTGCAACTTGATGACACAGTAAAGCATTAATCCGTTGTTAATCTGGTGTACTAGTGCAGATGATATGTTATGAAAGGGGAGGTACCAGAGAAGTAGGAAAGTTTATAGAGGGAAAAATGACTTACGGTCTGAAATCGGTTCATCTGGCCACAGGCAATGGACAACATGAAGAAATATGGCAAGACTCTGATGAGTGAGGTGCCCAGAGACACCACCGACTTACTCAAGATCCTGTGCACCGACTACAAACCCAGTGACAGTAAGCAAAGGGAAAGTTGTTCCTTTCAGTTTTTTTATTGAGCATCACACCTTGTGGTATTCCTCAAGAACTTATTATCACAATACTTTGCATCCCCAAGAGGTTGGCATATGGAATATGGGAAGAAGTCAACATCCTTGTGCCAAATACATTTTTCTTTTTTGCACAAATACTCCACAGTGTACGCACTGTGTACGTGTACAATTGAAGTTGACTTAGTGAATTGTCAATGTACAACGTGTCCAAGTGCATTTGCAGCTGCCTGGCACTACACATAAACAATGGAGAATGCTCAATAAATGTTAAGACAAACATTTGGTGACACTCGCAGTGTGAGCCAGGCTGCTTCAAGTCACACTGTCTTTATATTAAGTGAGTTTCTCAACTCAGTACATTTATGACAGTGTGGAGACACGCAATCCTATGTGTTTTTACTTTGTCATAAACATAGGCTATGGCTCGCAGTAGCACACATGTCTTTGGAAAGTGGCTGCAGCCGCTAGCCAATACACGTGTGTACCCGTAGTTTCCAGCCGCAGCCACAACTTTTAGACACAGTCACAGACTGGAGATCTGATCGATCTCATTATGGTCACCCCTAGAACATCTAGAACTTCATTGCATTTTTTTTACAAAGCATAGCATAGCATAGCATGCAACAGCGCAGTGCGGCAGGAACAAGCTCGTCCCTTTGCCATATGTGGCGGTGCATTACTCAGGCCAGTGTGATGCCATACTGAACAAGAGAATGTTTATATTTGCAAACTGTTTAGAGGAAGTTAAGTTTAATCTTAACAGTCCTTAATCCTTTGGCTGTTGGAAGACTGAGGACTGTTAAGGTTAAGGCATTGTTTAACTCAAACTTAGCATTGACAAATGACATTACCAACCGTTGTGTTTTGATGATAATTTTTCTTCCTTTAGTTGCCAATTTCCTGAAAGTTGGAGAGGAAGACGGTAAAATTGACTTGACATTTGCATGTAACTGTGAATGGTGCTTGATAGTATTGACAAATGAAGAACATTTTGTTTTTAAGTTTCGCACATTGAATATCCGTGGTTCTTGCTTCAAAAAATCTGAAGGCAAAGTGAATGCATAGAGATAACATACAGTTACAACCTCAATACGTATGAAGGCATGATATTGTTTATTGTACCTGCTCATCAAGCTAATGAGGCATTTTGTGTCATATTTCAGAGTACAGTGGATTAACAAAGACAACAATAATGTTAATTTTTAAAGGCACGGTATCATTATTATCCCTGCTTGCCGTGCCTTTAAGGCTTTTTTTAGATAGTCGGAACACCTTAAGAAATATATGTGGCTTGATGTTGCAATTTAAATGGATTTGCTTGCTTAAGCAGAATAAATCATTTCTGCCTTTGTCACAAGTGCTCATTTACTCTTGGGTGGACAGGGACGATGAGCTGAATAACACGTTTCCAATCAAACAATAAAAGATGTCACCACAAAGTAGCCTTTGTCTGAGTTGACATGTGCTTCCGTAAATCTGCATGCTGTGTGAATTTGTCCTTTTCAATCTGCCGCTCCCTGAAGTGGATTGTTGAACTGTCCCGTGAAGGAGTCCTTGATTGATTGGGCAGACCTGCATGGTTCTTCATTCAGAACATAATTGATATGTGTGCATGTGATTATGTGCAGAAGCCCAATGACAGTGCATTTGACTTTTGGTTTCAATAAGCAGCTTGTTCCGTCTTTGTTTCTCCATTTTACAATTCTTTTGTTTTTTATGAAGCATGCTTTTTAACTTGAAGTTATATAACTTCAAGTGGAAAGTCACATGTTTTCATCTTGGCTTTGCAGAACAGCAGCCGGACAATGTAGAAGTTAAAAAGCATGCTTCGAAACTGAAAGTGTGGTTGGGGATCTAACATATTGTGGGTTTTTCTTATGTTTTCTCAAGATTTAGTATTCTGTAAGGTGCCTGATAGTTGGTGGAGAGTTTTTTCTCTGACAGTTTGATGTGGATTTTGACTGTCTTCATTTGCTCCACAAATTGTTGTAACCAAGAACAGTTTTTCCATGCCCAATGGCAGCTACATGTATGTCGACCATCGTGTTCTGAAGAATATGTATTTAAAGATTCTAAAAGTTCTGTAGCCAATGGGGGAGACATAATACGATGGGCTTAAGACTTCACAACTGAAATTAAGACGCTGATTGAAGCAAAAATTGGAAGGTACATGTAAATGGATTATTGTCTCAAAACCAGGATTGTTCAGCATTGGAATGCTGAGTGTCAAAAATTTTCAACTATTGTCTTACTAGTGTCTCCATAGAAAGTTAAAAAGACAGGATGAAAATTCTCTGAAATGAGCAAACAAAACCCTGGACATGCTCCCGACAAAGGTAGAAACTCCCCTCTCCACATTTTATGTACAGTCGTGAATTTAAGGCACTGGTTCAGCCACTTTTTCCCCTTACAACCTAAACATGTTTTTGTGTTTCTGGCTGGACAGAGCCCCTGATAGATGCCAACATGTTGACAGGGGATGTTGTCCCAAAGGTTCAGAAGGCCAATGCGGAGGAGTTCATCCACATTTTTGTTAACAACTCCGGTCAGCTGATGGAGTTCCTGGAGCACATGGTCAAGGTAAGTCCAAAGCTACTTGTAGGTTGTGGAAGTAGGGTTGTTGAGTCCATGTAGTGGAGTTTATCGACATCTTTGTCAGCAAATAACATCAGTACATTTAATTCTCACACTGTCCCGTTATATTTGTTTTTATAACATTTTCTAAATGTTTCAGTGAAGTCTGCGGGTTTTTTTTGCACTGATCAACTTTGTTCAGGTTCAGCCTGATTCGTCACACCTGATCTACAACACTTTACTAGAGCTTTACCTCCATGACATGGCTCATGAGGGTGAGAGACGCAACCGTTTGGAGCTCCATCGCAAGGCCATGGATCTGTTACAGACATCAGACGTGAGTCACCAACTTTTCAGCCCCACCCTGGCAACCTCTTACCCCTCTCCTCCCTGCCACCTACCCCACCCCACCTTGCTTGTAATTTTAACTCCACCCACTCTCCAACCCCACAGTGCCCGCCCCTCTTGCCCACCTTAAACCTCACCCTTCCCACTGTCCAGCCCCCATCCCACCCACAATTCAATCCCACTCTCCCCCACTCACCCACCCTCCAACACCAACTTCACCCATCGTCCATCCCCACTTTGCCCACTGCCCCTCCCCCGTCCACTTTAATCCTTACCCCACCCACCCTCCAACCCCTCCTTACCCATCTTACAACCCCACCCCCTCCGTCTTCCAATAATTTATTTCAAATGTTTACTCACTCGTTGTTCCGTCAGGCCTTGTACGATATAGATCAGGCCCTTGTGCTATGCCAGATGCACAACTTCAAGCAAGGAATCCTCTTCCTCTATGAGAAATCCAAACTGTAAGTCGTTATTAGTACCCTAACTTGTTTCTGTTTCAGAATAACCTGTTCCCTCATAGTCATAAGGCTTGTTTGGTCTCAATCAATTATCCGGGATTACTGATCAAGATCGAGATACAGATCTTGGTGAAACAAAGAGGCCCATTGCAAGGAACAAGGAAGCCATATTTTTATCATGTGCTGTAAATCTATCTTTAATTCAAAGTAATCTGTGAAATTGTTGGTGGAAGACTATGGTGGGTTCATTGCTTTACTTCCATTCTTCAAATGTTGCTTAAAACATTTAGATATGATAAATAAAGTGCAGATTTAAATTATTCATCATTGTAAATGAAATTAATCTGTCAATGATATTTTCTCTTTGTTTTTAATTTGATTCTTAGATTCCCAACATAAAAAAGTTGATCTCGTTTTCAATTCAATAAGGCCAACCTCCGAACAATGCCAATTCATGCAGTCACCATTGAGGGCATGTTCTTTCTGTGTGTGTGTCACAACAGGTATCAACAGATTCTTCATTATCACATGGAAAACAATGAGTATGATCAAGTCATTGACACTTGCAAGCGGCACGGGTGAGAAAGAAAGCGTGTCTTCAACTCTTTAAGAAAACTACTACCTTTGTGCTACTTGTAGTGGTCTTCTGATTTTATGAATGGTCTCTGGATCAGAGTTGCACATTATTACAAAATATGCATGAACTCGTGATTTAAAAGCACTTGTTGCGAGACAATTTGACCTGGGACATTCTTTCCTCAAGTGTTTAAAACGTGAAATATTGCCATTGTAAAATGAAGTCCATTTCTTGTCAATGAGGCACGTGTTTTTTTTTATCAGTTTCAGAAACACTTCTTTCGGGAAACACTGTCCAAATGTATTGTCAGTCTTCTTTCATTGAATGAACCTGGGATGCAAATGTATATTCAGGTCAAGCCTTTTTAGTTAAAATAATGAAGTTGCACGTGATACACAGTGTAGCAAATGAAAGTGGATTCCTGTCAGTGACTGTTTAAAACAGATGGTTTCTAGCCTTTGGTTTCCATAACATGTTGACCCCCAACACTTCAGCCCAATCCCATTTGGCTGTACTGGATCTGCTGAGCTCTGTCATGACCTTTGTCCTCTGACCCCACCAGGACCCAGGACCCTAACCTGTGGGTGCAGACCCTGTCCTACTTTGCCCGCAAGGAAGAGAATTGCAAGCAGTACATTGTGGAGGTGCTGTCCCAGATTGACCGCTACAACCTACTGCCCCCTCTCATGGTCATCCAGACGCTGGCCCACAACTCATCGGCAACCCTCTCCGTTGTCAAGGTGTGACTTTTAAACCACACAATTCCCCCCCCCCCAGATCTTGGCTATGTCATGCCCAATCATTGTGAAACTTGGCATGTATATTTGACAGAATGGATGAGAGTTCCAATGCTGCTTGCTGAAGTTCAAAGCGAGACACTTAAGAAATGCAGTTGAGTGTGGCAGAGAGTCCAAGGCTTGCCCTTAGCAAACATACAAAAGGCAAAGAAGTATGCACAGTGGGCAAATTTTACATGGCAAAGTATGATACACTGAGGGTATACTCAAGCATGCACAATTTAGAATGTTTATGGACTGAAAGGCTTAAATGTGATCTGCTCTTTGAGGAACCGGAGGCTTCTTGGCTTATCTACCACAAGGTTGATTTGAACCTGATCTGCTCTTTGACAGGATTACATCATCCGCAGGCTTCAGCAGGAGAACGACCAGATTACGGAGGATGAGAGGCTGGTGAAACAGTACAGGGAGGAGACAGAAAAGATGAGGAGGCAGATGGCGGAGATGAAAACAAGGTAAGGCTGGCTGGGTAGCTGGCTGGCTGACTGGCAGCCAGCTGGTTGACTTGTTGGCAGACTGGCTGGCTGGCTCCTTGCCTGGCCGGCTGTCTGGCCAGCAGCCAGCTAGCCGCTTTGCTTGTTGGCAAGCTGGCTGTCTGTGGCTGACGTACCTGGCCAAACTTGAAGTAATACCAACAATTTGTCTTCCATTGTCAAACAGTGCTAAAATCTTTCAAGTGTCGAAGTGCAGCATCTGCAATCACAACCTGGAGTTACCGTCTGTTCACTTCCTATGTCAACACTCCTACCACCAGCAGTGAGTGTGACCTTTGACTTTTCTTCTTCAGTACAAAAAACATGTTTCCAGCGTACAGTTTCTAAAAAAGAAATTTCTTCACTAAAACACACTCCTTGACTGAAGAAATTCCAATTTTTAAATACTGGGTTTAATTTTAAATCAACAGATGACGTTGTAGTGTCTTGGTGGTCATAGGTTCGAACCTCAATCAAGTCAGTTTTTTCCTCAAAGCTTAATAAATATGAACCCACTCAGGTTTCCTTTTGTAATTAATGCTATTCTAGATTGTAAGGGATGACCTCTCTGACTGATCCATGTCTGCCATTTCCTGTATTATCCAGCATTGCTAATGTGGCTGGCAGCATGATTTTTGCCCATGATTCCTGGCCACGTAGCAAAGAATGGGTTGGTAGCTGATGTAGCTGGTAGCTGTTGGTAACTGATGCACACTCGTTCCCAAACACAATGACAGTTTTAGATACTGCTAACATAGCACTGGAAAGCCCAGATGGTAGGGCACCTGTGCAACATTCCATAGGTCCGGGGTTCAATTCCCACGATGGCCAGCTTTATTGGTTCATCCTAATGCATTGTATACTGGTGACTGTTGTTTTGAGAGTTACGTAGCACTGGCTAGCTCAGTCAGTAGAGACCCAATACAGCATTCCAAGAGTTCTATTTTGAATCCTACTCTATTCCTATTTTGGGCTTGCTATATCAGCTGGTATATCAGTATAGTGTTCCAAAGGTTCTTGGTTTGAATCCCACTCCAGTCAATTTCCATGTTCATCCTGATGCATTTTATAATGGGGATATTTTGTTTTAATAATCACAGCGAAGGCCACTTAGTTAGCAGAACTCTAGCACAGCATCCCACAGGTTTCAAGTTCGAACATCACTCTAGTCATTCTGATGCATTTTGTAATGTAACATCTTTTGTAATAATCACAGTGATGGGCACATTCCACAAAATTGTTGTATTTCTACGCGTGAGCTCATTAATTTTTTGTGATCCCATGGGATTTTATAGTAAGACAGGCCATAATCAGGAGGGATCATAGAAATATTTCTATAAATCCCAAATTTGGGACTAATAGTTTCCAGTTTGGGGTGTTTCTTTCACAAAAATCCCCGAATTGCGGGCCTATTTTGGATAGAGGCGGAAGGTATGTTTTTGCGCTGTTTCTATGGGCACGTCTTTGGTGAAGTACAACCTGAGGGCCAGTTGGATTGGTTAGTAGAACATCCAGCACAGTGTTCCAAAGGTCCCAGATTTGAATTTCATTCCAATCAATTTTTACCCTGTTTATCCTGATGCATTTGGTAATTATGACAGTTGTTTTGAGAGCTATGCTGAGAATGACCTGGAGTGCCCCGCCTGCGCCTCCGAGAACCACAAGGTGATGGACATCATCAGGGCCCAGGAACAGAGCAAAGACCTCCACGAACAATTCCACAGACAGGTTAGGATAGGGCTGAATGAAATCTTAACCACATTCCTTGAAAGAATGGAAAAGACCACTTTTTTGTTTTAACCATAGTACATGTAGATATTTCCAAAATGGGAGACAGCATTATGAATTCTTTTGATGATCATTTTTGTTTAAAGTAAAGAAAACTTAGCCCAATCTGTGCAACTCTGGGCACTGCTGGGAACTCTCTAGCAGAAAATAGTACTTTCTAAACAATATATGGCAACAATTTTGAAACTTGTTCACAGTTACCTGCCTGCAGCCTGCATCCATGGAGATTGCCTGGAACAAGTTGTCCCGTTCACGCCAACTGTGCCTTCCAACTGACCATTCTCTCTTACTTTTTCAGTCCTATTAAATATAACTGTTGCCTTTTTTTTCCTTCACAGCTGGAGAAGTCTCAGGACGGTTTCTCGGTTGTCGCTGATTATTTCGGCAGAGGAGTTTTCAATAGGGTGAGCATTTGTTGGATTTTAACTTCCATTGCACTGGATGTTGATTACTAGCAATTTATGCATGGAAAGATGTGGCGAACAGAAGTAAAGTTATAACCCTGCACTTATTACATAGAGACTAGCCGGGCATGACACTATGCGTGAGCACTGACTGAAGAGCGCTAGCATTGCAGTAAGTCATAACAAAGAAACACATAAGGCACATGTACAACATGTGCAAAGTACCACTGATATTATGACTTCTCATATTGGTTAGTTCGTATTCACATTCTGATATGGTACAATGTGGTGATGGAGGGTTCAAACAGTGTTTTATATGCATCGTGTATTCCTTGGCAGTTTTTATGTTGGGAAAATATGGTATTCCTCTTAAAGAGCATGTTTTCTCTGATTCAAACGTAGTGTCGTTTGTCTTCAGACCCCAACCGTAACAAGCTTAAAAGGACTTTTTTCTGTTCATGCCAAGATGCGAATTCTGAATGTAGATTGTGTCATTCTGAGAAAACAGAGTCTAACGAGGGGAACCTTCACCCTGTGTTCGTAGTGGATAAACCCTGGTGCGTGCCAAGGATTTGGTATGGTGCATGTAGCCACTGTTTGGCATGCACCAGGGTTTATCCACTACAAACACAGGGCAAGGGTTCCCCTCTGTTTCTCTGTTTTCTCCGAAAGACTCTGTCTGCATTCAGAATTTGCATCTTGGCATGAACAGAAATAAAAGTCCTTTTAAGCTTGTTATAGTTGAGCTCTGAAGACAAATGACACAGCGTTCGATTTGGATGCTTCCGAGTTTATTTGAACAGACTAAATCAGAGAAAAGATGTTTTCCTTAGAGGTGCTCTTTAACTTCTTGTTTCTTTTGTCCTTGCAGGTCACCCTTTTGACCGATACTTTCCCAAGTTCCCCAAAGAAGCTGATGCCGTCTCAGACAGGGATCCTTCCTGCACCCATGCAGCCTTCCCGAATAACACAGGCAGCCCCTGCGAGAGCTGCCCGGCCGTCTCCAGTGCACAGCCAGCCCATATCGCTACCAGGGACATCCAGCACCCAACTGCCACCCGGCCGGACCCAGACCCCACCCCAGCCCCGGTCTGCCCCAAGCCCCGCCCCTGGCTTCCAGATGCCCACTGCCCGGGGGGCCTCCCAGTCCTTCCAGCAGGAGAAGGCAAAGCAGCCACAGTCTAACCCCGCTGAGGTTTACCATGCCAGCCCATCCCGGCTCACCCCATCTCCCAACCCGAGTGTTCCGAAGTCATCGAGTCCCGCCACCTCCCACCGGGTGCCCACAGCCCCGGCCCAGGAGTATAACCCATTCCTCATGGGGTCTGGGGCAGTGTTGGGTTCAGCAAGGCCACCTAGCCCTGCTACCAGTAGCCCAGCCCAGAAGACCTCCTCTCCAAGCAAGGCACACTCTTACAACCCCCAGGCAAACCCATTTGAAATGGGTTCATCCCAGGGGGTTAAGGACAACATAAATCCCTTCACAGGCCGACGGGATTCTCCATCAAATCCTTTCCAAAGTGATGGAGCCAGTTCCAACCCATTTGAAGAAGAGGAAGATAAAAACAATCCCTTCTTCAATTAAATGCGTAAACATATACTACATTGTACATTCGTAATTTTAGCCAAATCTTGTTATTGGTGTACTGCACCCAAGATGGTTGCGGAAAGGTTGAATTTTTGTGGGTGGATTAGAATACATCTAAATGCTTGAATTTTCCCCATCGCCTTTTTATTTGACTCAGGCTAATTCCTGACCTATGTGCTCAGTTCTCTTGTCAGAATTTTGTGATTCTTTATTTGATTGAAGTGTTGCAGCTATTAAGAGCACAAACTTGCAGATGTAAAGTCCACTTGACTCCAAAACTGGGAGGGAAATAGGAGCTCAAATTTGGAATGTAACTTAACCCAGTTATGTGGCTACATAACTGGGTGCATAATACCATTACGCACATGCAGATTTGTCACCGATGTGATTCAAGCCAATAAAGCCATTTTTAACACTGAAGAGGCCCTTGATCAAATCTTACACAGTGGAAATAGTTGTCGCCCACACAATATCCCTATGATAAAAAATGATTAAACTGAGTGGTACTGTATATTGAAACAGGGTTAAATAGTCTCTCCCTGTTGCATACAAAGACGGAAGAATATTCTCAGTGATCATCTTGTGGGATCCAGTTACCAGTATGGAGCAGTTTTCTACAAATTTAAGTGTTCACTAATAAAATCCATGCACAATTTTGTTGATGCAGTCCACATGCCAAATATTAAACTCAATCAACTAAAACTATTGCTGCAACTGTGACAAACTAAGTCCTTCAAGGCTGTTGGCCGATGCTGAATGTTAGGTTTAAAAATTAGAGTGAATAATATTCAAAGAATATTTTGTATGAGATGTATTATGTACATTTAAGTCTACACAAATTGTAAATCATTTATGTAAACTTTAATTTTTTTCTTGCCTAAAAGCCAGTACAAGCACGGATGGGGGGTGACAATACCCCTCCCAACTATTAAATAAAAGTAACAACTATAGTATCAATACAAGAGATGAGATCCTACTATGTGAATAAACGTAAGTGCGTCATTAACAATGTAATTCATTACCAATGTCTCGACTGTGGGTAACAATCGGATATGAAAAAATATCTGATGGGCCAGACCGTACCACGTAACCCAGAAAAAATTTCTCAATCCATCCCTACAGAACACAGCCAGTTAGTGATCGTATTTTACAACAATGTGTGAACATTTTTTGGAGGTTGTTTTTTATGTTTTTGTTGTATTTTGCCAACATATTATGCATATGCTCAGAAAAATAAAGGTGGAGATCTTAAAAGTTACAATTGGCGATATTGCATTCTATTCTATTCTTACTTTGAAAGTTTGAAATGTTATTTGATGGACCCCATCCCCAATTGTATCTCTTCCAAATTATGGGTAGAAAGTGTTAACCGTTGTTTTAATACTTGTTTGTGTTACAGGGCCTTTTTTAAAATCTTGACTGATCTACGTATTCAGTACCATCTCAGGCAGCCTCCCAGTGGTCAGTTTCGAAATGTTTACTGTTGGAACCAATTCATGAAAATACTCCAAACGTTGGCCTCATGAGACGAGTTGGTGTGTGTGCACTACATAATCGAGCCAAAGAACCTCACACAACCCGACTCGCCACGTAATTTCGTTTCCTACCTCCATGGTATGATTAACCTAAAAAGAAGTGGGGGAGGTCGAGGAATCAGACTACTCATAGCACTTGTAAGATTTTCCTCCGTCGGCGAATTTCATGACGGCACCCGCGTCCGATTAAAATAGTCTAGCAACGCACGTGGTCTTGTCTTGCTCCACCTAGGATAGCTATCTCTATCGTAAAGTTGGCAAAGCATCCCGCGGGAAACATATCACACCAACTTGTAGAAAGCAATTACAGTTTTAGAGGTGGGAGGAAAACCCATCGGAATATTCAGGGTAAAACCCACGGAATCAAGGTAGAGACTGAAAGCCCAATCCACACGTTGACCTAGCCGGGATTCAAACCCAGACCGCAGAGGTGGAAGGCGAGGAATGAACCACTACCAGTACGCCAACCTGACTCTCCCATCGTATGAGGCTGCCTAACTAGCCCTTGTTACGAGAGAGTGAGCCGGGAAGGGCCTTTGCGTGACATAATTTCTTTCAACCGCTCATCATTGGATAGATTTTGAACAATAACACGGGTCGCGCGTTTCTCAATTGCACGACGGTCTGGGATATACGTACACCATGTACACTTCGTATCAAATGGTTTTACTGCCAGTCTTGAGGCGAGACTAGTCTCTGTGTACGTTTCTTCCAAGTTTTTTTGGGAAAAGCATCCTCCAGAGCCACGATTTTACCCTTTTTTTCAAGTTAGTTTCCCCGGCACGTTGTGTAAAAAAGTTTGTACACCGGTCAAAGGTGCTGCGTGCGCTTGACACGTGCGCACTGAACGTTCATGCGTTGATCATTAGGACAGCAATCCTGTAAGGGCGGTGGATGACAAGCGAACGACATAATCGTCAGAATTGTCGTGGTTTGCGACGTTTTTCTGATGTTGGCATACAGTTGGCACTCTGACGTCGGATTGCTGCTGAACGTTGTGTCGACATCGGCAATAGATCGAGCGATTACGCCCTCTAAGTCACGTGACCTGTAGTGGGTATCAGCCCCATAGCAAAGTACGTTTACCAAAAAACAAAAGCCGATTTTTGATATAGTACTCTCACTCTGGGAACTGCTGGGTATAGCTCAACCGCCTGTAGTGCAACACCTGGAGCAAGGCCACCTCCCTGATCGCTTCGCTCAGTGCGTGGAGCAACATCAGGACCTTCACACCACCTTTGTGGACCTGACCAAGGCCTTTGACGCTGTCAACCGGGAGGGCCTCTGGAAGATTGTGTCTAAGTTTGACTGCCCAAAGAGACTCTCCATTAAGCGCCAGTTCCACGACGGCATGATGGTCTGGGTCCTAGACGATGGAGATGCATCGGAGACCTTTCCAATGACCAACGGTGTCAAGCAGGCATGTGAGTATGAGCACCAGCACTATTCAGCATGACGTTCTCTGCCGTGCTCATATAGACGCTTTTAGAGACATTGATGCCGGCATCTCGATCAGGTACAGGACCGACGGTAAACTCTACAACATAGCTAGCCGACTTATCAAGGCTGTCGTGAGTGACTAAGACGGCCCGACCGAGACTTTCTCTTCGTTGATATCGACGACTGTGTCCCTAGGCCTAATGCCTGCCATGAGCATGAGATGCAGTCTCAGGTGGACAGCTTCTAGACAGCCTGTGACAACTTTAGCCTGATCAGTAGCGCGAAAAAGACGGAGCTGGGGCTTCAACCAGCGCCTGGCACACCCTACCGCAAGCCCAACACCACAGTGAAGGGACAAAAGCTCCAGGCGGCTGACAGCTTCACGTACCTTGGCAGCACTCTCTCCCGCTTAGCCACCATTGATGCTGAAGTCAACAACAGGATACCCAAAGCAGTGCCTTCGGACGACTGAGACCAGCTGTCTGGGAAAGAAGAGGGATCACTCTTACCACCAAGCTCAAAGTCTACAAAGTTATGGTCCTGATCACACCTATGCCCGCGAGACATGGAAAGTCTACACCTCCTCAGGATTCGCTTGCTAGACAAAGTCACACACACACCGAAGGCCCAAGCAGAGTAGGCATACTCAGCATAAGCAAGGCCTAGATTAGATGGGCAGGCCATGTTTCACTGATGCCAGAAAACCGCATCCCCAAACGGCTCCTGAGAACTCAGTCATGGCAAGCTAGCGCTCTATCGGGGGCCAGAGGAAGCACTTTAGATTTGAAAGTCTCTTTGGAAGACTTCAGTATGGACACTGAGTCCTTGGAGTCCCAGGCAGAAAACCGCATGGCACGGCACAGACTCGTCTAGTGCAAAAGTGCCCGGACAGCAGAAGAGCTACACACCCTCACGGCCAGCTATAGAACTTCCATCACCCCGAACGTCCCACCCACTCACTAGTGCTCTATCTGTAGGAGAGGGTTCCTTGCCCAGATATATAGGCTTCTCAAGCCATCTCCACCACCCACGCCAGGTTGACATCCAGTGGACCATTTCCACGAATGTGCAAATTAGATGGGCGCATGCGCGCTAATACCACTGGTTGGCAAGCGCGGCCGCCAACACTGTCGGCAGCGTATCCGTAGGCGAGCTGCTAGTAACCTCATGGTAACATTAACCTGCGTGGAGCGTTGAAGGTCAATCAAAATCGTATTACCATAGAGCTCTATGGTATTACAGTCTTTGCCCGATGCTTGAGCACGCTTTCCTCAAAACTAGGCGAAGTTTTTAGTGTCCTGAGGTTGGAAAGTAACAATTCTTTGTCTTTAAGTTTGGCACCGTCATTGAAACTATACTAGTACAGAAACGGCGACATATGTGGAGCGCGCATAGAGATTTATATTGTGACGTCATTTGCCAACCAGTGGTAGTAGTGCGCATGCGCCTGCCTCATTTGCATATTTCATTCGAAAGGTACATTACTATTTCATGAGGGATGGCGAACAAAAACACTATCAGGGTACTGAACGGAGAGTAAACTTTGTTTTTTGGTGAATGACACTGAAACACTTCGCAAGACGCCTAATGTTTGTTGATAATAATGTGATACCCACTTTATAGGTCACGTGACTTAACGGGCGCAATTGGTCTACAAGTCTGTGTGTATTTAACCTCGAGTTGCTGATTTTGCAACAACTACTGGCAGGACACATTTTTTTTCAAGTTATGATAACGTCGCTTGTTCAGTTGATTCAAATGGCGACACTCCCATGCAGGGACATAATTGCACATTGCGTGAGACCAAGGACAGCCAACGCGACGTATTCCGCTATATCAGGTATATGTAATGCAAGTCTCATCTCTACACTGAAAATGCAGTTTTAATATAGTTATAAAGGGGGCCCGGCCTTGAGTTTACTGGCTGGGTCATAGAAGAGATAAACTGATGTGAAAAACGAAACAAAAATCAAACAAACACTGATTCGAACATATCTCTGTCTTTCTTCATGTGGCTATTATATTTCCCAATCTTAGTTTGCCAAAACCAAAACAAGGTTGGAAGCTATGGTCACTCTACAAGTTGTGTGCTTGACAATGCTGTATGATTAAAACAAAGTTATTCCAAGTCCACCGTCCATCGACAAAAACGCTGAGGACGAGCTAAGAAAGGCCGTCATAGTTTAGTTTTATGTGCGGTAAAGTTTTTCTGGAACGGAAAGTGAGTCTAAGACCACAAATGGGAATTCAACAAACTTGTAAGGGCACTTAGCGGGGGAACACTTCTGGCCAATTTTATTCTTCGACATAGCATTTCTTACATAATTAAGAATTAAACACTAGTACGTCACATGTAGCCCCAGACTTGGGCCAGTCGACTCGTTTATCATACGGAGGGTCGTCAAGTAAGGCCCTCTTCAGCCGCCCAGGCACAATATCCTGTCCAGTTTAACGTTGTGAAAAAAATGGCTCGGGATTTCGGTTTCATCTTTAAAGCGAGCACTTCTGTATGGAAATCCATACCTTATTCCAGACTTGTATTTGCCAGTCTGCATACTTCGCCAAAGGTATGAGTCTTCCTTACGTACATGCGGCTCAAAAGCCATGAAAGAGTGTTTGTGAGAGGAGGTGGACTTTATACACACGCCAGTTTATCTGTACAGTTCAAGAAATGGCCATGGTGTTGTACATACTGTTTGTGTACTCGTACACCGGCAACAAATAATGTTGTATAACTCGTGACATGACCTGTACCTGGAAGAAGTGATATAAGTATTTATCTTTCCACCCCTCCTCAAACACAGTGTGACACTGCCTGTGCCAATTCAACGTGGCGTTTCCATTTGTGTACCTGCAGGCTGCATTGTTTGCTTCCACAAACGGTACGTTTGAAATGTGTCATTAGTACAGGTTTCCCCGGCCAATTTCACCACGTTTTCATTCATTTCAGCGCTTAAAATGGAATTGAATGACCACGTTGATTGTCTTCAACAATAACATAGAACTGTTAAATTTTACTATCTGTGCACTGGATGCTTTTAAATTGAATTGCATCGGTCATTCACTGACTTTCACAGGGAGCGGCATAGAGGAGTTGATTGGGCATTCATTCTCATTGATGGGAAGACATTCATTTGAAAAAGATTCAGGCATCTTTTGAGGCATTTCGTGTGTCACTTGTCCTTCAAAAGTCTGATCAACCACAAGAAAACATCGGGAAAAGTACCAAAGAGATGTGTTCCCGATGGTTCATGCCCCGTTACACTACAAGAGATCATTGGATGAAGGCAGCGGATGATTTCCGCGTCCTTCAACTTCACAACTTCTATTTGATTCTTCTGTTGAACAAAAAAGATTTGTCCGTAGGTTTAACGTCTCGGAGCAAATGATGTAGAAATCATACCTTTTTTGTACAGTTTCAATGTATTTCTTCAAAACTGACAGAATTATTACAGAATGGCTCACCCGAAACTTAATTAATGAACAAACTGAAAATGTCTGCACATTCCACCTACACAAACAAAGTTTTAGGCCTATTTGTCCATTTTCATATACAGACACGGCTTTTAACGTTGCTGTAGGCAGCCTCAACATGCAGATTGTGCTCCTCGTTGTTTGTGTTCTTTTGCTTACTGTCATCTGGATCCGCCGTCCACGAAACCTGCCACCAGGCCCGCCGGCATGGCCGCTCATAGGTAACACTCGCGGCCTGCGGAAGGGCCCATTGTACGTGGGTCTGACTGACTGGGCCCGGCAGTATGGGAGCATCATGCGTATCTGGATGGGACCTCAGCTGGCAGTTGTTCTCAGCGACATCAGTGCCATCAAAGAAGCGCTCATGAAGCAGGCTGATTTTTTCTCCAACAGATATGTCACTCCGAAGACCAGAATCCTTTTGTCGATCAAGGGTAAGATGACTCACTGCGATAAAAATGGTTAGAAAAGCATTTCGCAGAAGTAGAACTGATGAGAACTAACCAGAACTGTACGGATCACGACATGTTGCTTATAAGAAAGCCTTCTGCAGAGTTTACTTTTAGTTCCTCGGACTTTTAAAGTGCGGCCATACTCGGATAAACTTGCCCAGATTGTTCTGGTAGTTGCATTAATAGAAGATCAAAATGACATATTTTGTCATGATGTAGTCGTTTTACCTCTTTATATAAAGCATCAAACAATAATACGAATGCTAAATTCCCTTTTTTTTTACTCTATATATAGCAAGTGAGCGCAAATAGTATTGATACGCCCATGCAGCCCTTTCTTCTTTGGTCAAGAGACGCCCCACACAAATCTTCAAGCCACTACCTTTTTTCCATTCCAAGAAAATGAAAAGAAATTTTTCCACTTCTTAAGCCAAAACGTTTCAACTTCTGACCATGTTCTTCACAATCGTTCTCAGGGAAGTACTGCGTTTTCTTAAGACATTATGGGACCAAAGGTAAATTGTCTGAAGGTGATCAACCGTTTTTTTGTTTTTTTTTTCGTTTTTAATTTTTTTTTTCATTTCCCATATTTTCTTAAGTTTTGTTTCTGGGAGACAAGTACTCCCCTTGCCCCCTCCAGGCTCGCGGCGTCTATTGCAGTAAATGTTATGGGTCTGTGATAATTCAGAAAAACAGAGTTTGGGTAATGACATATTGAGAATTTTCCAACAAATCCCATTAGACCCAGTTGCCTTATACCACAACAGTCTTGAGAGGGGTTTCATCGTCATAGTGACTTGAACTTGATACTGCCGTTCTCTCTTACCGAATTTCTCTAATGTCACTATGAATAATCTCTTGCTGATATGAAAATCGCCGCGCTTTTAGACCACAGATGAATCATTTAAGAGCTGTTAGTGGTGTGCCACCACACTTCTGTAGGTATGCGTGTGTTACATGCCACTGTCAATCAATTAGGATGTTGTGACCTGTAAAGTACACATGGACACGTCACGTTTAATAATGTAATGGTGTCACTTCGAATAATTCGCCTGACCCCTTTTTTTGGTTAGGAAGTTTCATCTTTTCCAACGGTGAAGTTGGGAAAGAGCGGCGTCGTTTCGGGTTGAGCGCCCTAAGAACTCTCGGCATGGGCAAGAAAAATGTGGAGCACAAAATCAACGAAGAGGCTCGCCATCTCTTAGAGAGCTTCGACAGCCGACGAGAGAAGCCCTTTGACCCAGAGCACAACATCTTAAACGCGGTCTCCAACATCATCTGCATGATTAGTTTTGGCTACCGATTCGAGTACTCCGACCCCAAGTTTGCCCGTCTCATAAAACTCGTCAAGACTGACCTGTCCGATTCATCATTCGCCATGCTTGGTAATCTCTTCCCGTTTCTGTTGTATACGCCTCTGTACAGGGAAACACGCAAACGTTCGAGAGAAATTGCTGTCTTCATCAAAAAGGTTATCCAGGTAAAAAAGAAATTTTAAAAAGGAAACGGTATTTTTGGCACACTGAGTGTCTGCTTCTAGACCAATGTGAGCACGAGTGTCCATTGCAAGGACGTTTTTCAAAAGTATTTTAAATACACAGCATGGATTGCCAGGGCTCTATAAATTATGCAAAACCTTCTCAAGGGTAAAGCAAGGCCCAACCCTGAAAAGAGTTGGAAAAAAGAAAACTACACCAGCTTCCTTTATTTTGACAGAATGTGTAAACATTTGAACTGCGTCACACATGTACTGATTAGGGAATTATTATCAAGGTGTAGGCTTTATCACAACTATAGCGTGGATCATTTCGAAAGTTGTCATCGCGAACGGCAAAGGAAATGACAGAATAAAACCCACTTTTCCTAAAAAAAAACTATTTTACTGTAACCCTACTAATGAGTTTAACGTAGTTTTATTTTCAATTTTGTTTGATATGTTTGGACATTCTGGTTTTGTGCAGAGGCAGAAAACCTCATTTCATGCACAGAAAAAATGCTAAAAGTTTTGATGGTTTGGTGCTCAGAATTTCCTTTTCTTTGACGAGTCATTGTTGTTGGAGTTTGTGACAATATGTCATCGAGCAACGCTTTCTCGGAAATAGTGAGCAAAAGTGGAGTTCATGAATTTGTTCAAAAAACATGTAACCTGAGCAGTGCTTTCCCTGATTGACGTCACAGCATAGCCGGCTTTTGTTGTCCATATGAGCACGGACAATTCTAGCAAGTGTACTTTGTAATTCATGTGACATCCAAAAACTGTCAAATTGTTAAACATTTAAAGAAAAGTGTAAAGTTGCATAGAAAGTGCATACGAGAAGACTTGGATCTTTAAAGGTAACACGAGGAATTTCAGGCCAACATACCGATTTATTTTGCCGTTTCGTATCAAGGAACACCAGGAGTCATTTGATCCCAACGACGTCCGTGACATAATTGACATGTGCCTTCTTGAAATCAAACGATCAGAGAAGATGGGGGCGGTGCGTGTCGACGTAGAACCCATCTTGTCCGAAGAGAACTTTTGGAGAGGTATATATGACCTCTTCCTTGCCGGCACCGACACTACAGCAAATACTTTGATGTGGATATTGATATATATGGCGCTATACCCTGATGTGCAAAAATCAGTGAGTAGCAAATGAAGTTATGAATGTATCCAGTCCCTGGTATAGAAAAAGAGGCATTATGGTTACTAATTTAGACAGATTAATGTATCATAACTGTCAATTCCGTTTTATGTACGAATGAAAACTAAACTTTCAGTTGCATATTATCGACAGGAAGCCTTTTGTGTCTCCTTCCGATTTGGACACTGGTGATCCATCTTTGTATTATAACTATACTACATGTACTTTTCCGGAGGCCTCTGTTGCTTGCAACACACACTTGTGCCTAATGCAGAACTTGAAAATACGCCTGTGTATCCCATTTAAGGTTATTTTTTAAAGAATTTATGTTGCTTGGATATGGGCATTCTGTTCGTTCATTGGTTTTTACTGTACTGCAAAGAATCACTCATGATCAAAGGTGTAATGTCATTCCGGGAAGGAGCATTATTTTTGGAGCCAAGTATCTCAGCCCGGAAAAATCTGTCGAAATTTTGAATAATTTCTTGATTCATCATTGTTTCAGCACATGACAGTAAGCTAGAGAGCGAAATTTTCAACAAGCACATTTTGAATTCATAACTTGCACTGAAATACATAATTTGAACATGCCTTTCAACATTCGGTAAGTTCTCTCATAATGATGAAAGGCTACACAGTGTCATTTCAGTGTCTCCGTATTTTAAGGGGTATACAGGAGATGTTTTTGGCTTTTACGCCTGTGTAATTTTTTATATTCATGAGCAAACCTTGTGTTGTCATGCTGGGTGATAACCTCAATGTTACGGCTATTTTGAAAAGCTAGCATTTTAGATATTGTGCTGTTGCAAATTTTCTTTCTTTTTCCTTTTTGGTGATTCCTTGATGTACGAACGTGACAGTCCTCCCATTCCTTTCCAATTGCTTAATTAGTCAACATATCAGGTGTACAGTTTGAACAGACGCCTGCATGCATGAACAGATCTTCCTAGATTGACATCGTAACAACAGCAAACTCGGTTGTTCATAAAGCAAGGTCGTTTTTAAATGACAATTGCATACTCGTTCAATAGCCGAAAAGGGATGTATAAAGTAGGTTTTAAGAGGTGTAGAAAGTTGCTCGAATTTACAGTCATCGCATTCATCTCATGACCCCTTAAGGGGGAACCTTTAATAAAATAAAATAAAAGGGATGTCAAATGGTTGTCATTCGTGTGAAAAGAGGTGTTGAAAGCTTCACAAAATATTTTCAAAGTTAAATTAATGTTATCTCTGGACTTTTGATTGTAGGTGCAAAAGGAAATCGATGATGTCATCGGATCCGACCGGCAGCCTACGTTCGAAGACCGAAAGCAAATGCCATACACGAACGCCGTGTTGATGGAGACGCAACGCGTCCGCCCCGTAGCACCCATCGCAATACCGCATGAGACGCGACAAGAGACCACGTTAATGGGATATACTTTGCCAGCGAACACAAGTATGCTTTGAGTTTGATTTATCAAGTACATTGTATTTTGCGCCTCGTCATTCTCGAAGCTTTATCTGTGATGGGTCCTTTTTTTTGGGGGGGGTGAGTTATTGACGATATGAACTGCTAATCGGCGGAATAAAAGTTGTTGTCCAAGCGACTATTCAGCCAATGGTGGATGCTGTCGCGTGGAGGGTTTTCGCATGTCTGACATAACACTTTTATTCCAGTGCTGTGACCTATTTCAGCGGAGTGCATTTGAAGAGCATGTGAATGCATAAACATGTGTAGAGAATATTACTTCTGAATCACAAAGCTTAACCTGCTGAACCTACTTTTTTGTAGCCACGTAGCCTATGCTTTCTAAGATACAAGAAAGAGAATCAATGGACCAAATAAACTGATTCAAACTAATTGGGTTCGGTTGTCTTTTAGCCAAAAATAATCCCCATTCATTAATCCATTGATTTCACGCAGTCGTGTATGCTAATATTTGGGCCACTCTGAATGATCCAAACTGCTGGAAAGACCCGGAGAAATTCGACCCCTCCCGATTCCTATCCAAAGACGGCAAGACAGTGGAGAAACCAGAGGCTTTTATTCCATTTGGTCTTGGTATGTTTTGACATTTTCTCCGCGTAGTCCATTTATTAGGCCTACGCCAGTTATGAGCGATCACTGTCATATTCCTCGTCTCTGCGGTTTCATTTCTGACGTCACTTTTTCAATTCATTTATCTCATTGAAAGATTACCGTACGTCATGTTTGAAATAGCATGTCCTCTCGGATTCAAGCAGTTTCTGTTTTTTCTCCTGTCTCAGGTCGGCGCATTTGCATGGGAGAGGCACTTGCTAGGATGGAGATGTTCCTCTTCTTTGTCAACCTCCTCCAGCGATTCACGTTCTCTTTGCCTGCTGGCAATCCAACCCCATCTCTGGAGGGTATTGCCGGTATCACTTTGGGGCCCCAACTTTATGAAATTATTGCTACTAAACGCTGAACCTTGTTTATCCTTCAAGTTATATCAATGAACGGTAAGAAGTTCAAATTGAAAATGGCACGGAATGTTTCAGATGAAATCACACTATGCCGTATTTTCTTTAAGAAATAACTTCGAGTTCCAGTGGTTTCATCGAAAGTATTTAAATCTCTCACTTATATCAGATAACGAAAACTTTATCTTGGTAATTTCTTGACACAGAGTGTCAATATTGTTGTTTTGCAGATCAAGACAGGTGTACAACATTTGGAATTGCTGTGGAATAATTTTCTGTACTCGTAAGCCTTGAGCCATTGTATTGACAACATAATTCAGTTCTAATTACCCAATGATCTTTCCGATAACCGATATGATTGTTGACGGATGGATATACAAATAATGAATGTTTGTTCATTGCTAGCATTGCAGTGGTAAGAATGATTTTATGAGGTGATAGATTAAATTGTCCATTTCACTCGGCTTCGCACTGTGGAATGGAACCTATCACCTGTCATCAAATAAAACCACTCTCCCCATTGCACGGCTGTGAACCATTCATGCTTTGTTGCAATATTTGAACAAATCCCTATAATAACCTGCTCTGGATAAATTCAATGCCATATATATATCGGCCGTGAGTTCAGAAATTTCTCTTGATCGAGGAATGCATGTTCTATCTACTGTGTGACGAAAAATTCAATATTATGTCACGTGATCATTAATCCATTTACATGTACATACATGAGAAGGTGACGGGTATTGCAGGCACGGTAACAAAATTTAATACGTGTAGCATGCAGTCAGTCGTGCCCAAATATTTGTACACGACCATCCTCAACTCTCGTGTTGGTATTGCAGGCATTAAAGATTTGGATATTTGTGAATTTTCATTTTCAGCGATCTTACCAACATTTATGGGGAGCGGTTGACAATTTATATAGCGTGAGTCGTTATTTTAAGATAAAAGATGGTTCCTATGGTCGATAATAGTTTTAGTTTAGTCTGAAACATTATATTAACGTTCAAGGATTGTCATTAATTTGTCTTTCGATAAGCATGCTATTGTAACCTAGATTTTGTGTAGGAGTTTCTTTAAATGCGTGTTACCGGTAATTTGTCAAGGTTGGTGTCGGGTAAGAACAACTGATTCGTTTTTGTCATGGATTTTGGTTTTTGATTGCAGGGTCTTTGGGTTCTAGTTCAGGGTTTGGTTTTGGTCATAGTAATTGGTTTGTTTTTGAAGATCAAAACGGGTTGTGTAACCTGGCTATATTTTAAGTAAGTTTATGGTTTATCATCCACATGTATGTCATGATACTCGTATTCTGGGAACCCGTGCTTTTATTCAATCAACGCCTGATAACACTAATCTAGTAGAAGTTGAATTGCTATCGAGTTCACTTATTCACTACTGAAAGGCTTGGCAGACCGTTCCAACTGCGTTATGCAGAAGAATGCATTCTTCAAATTTTAAAGTGTACACTAAAGCGTGGATTAGGCTTTATGCCCTGGCAAAGAATGAGCAGTCATTCCTTCTTGGTCTCTGCTCACTGCACCAGCCTGGTTTATGTTAACTTGTATGGCCTATATATACTTGGGCGGCTCTGTACATGCAACCGGCAGCTGCAGGAAATGTGTGTACATGTACACTGTCAGCAATGACCAGCGCTTGTTGGAGGTCCGATTAAGGAACAGCCAATTTTTTAAATAAACTTTTATTATGAACACATTGGACTCTTGGAGAACTTGTCATCCTCACTACTCATAAATAACTGTTTAAATGGTCAATTGTACGTATTGTTGAGAAATTACCAGACGTTAAAATGAAATAATTTTTCTTACGTGCAACACCCTGATCTGAAAATTAGGATTCCCCTTGTGGGTAGTTCCTGGTTCCTCATGCATGTGCTTAGTTCGTTCTTTTGTTTGTAGTAAAAACCCCTGCATTTATGTTATTGCACTCGATGGAATATTTCCCATTCAACTCACTGAGCTAAATACGAATAAAAACAAATCGAATTCAGTTGGAAACTCTCAGAGAGTGGGAACATCACAAGTGCCCTTTTTAGCCAGGACGAGTTTTACCTGGTGGCCAGAGTTGGAATTTGTTTTCCTATTTTCCTGCTGTGGTTATATTAGTTGTTCTGTGATTAGCACAAGGGTAACCAAGTTAGTTGGAATGTGTTACCTCCAAAAAGAAGGGAACGTTTCATGAGGGTTTGAGAGGATGGTTGGGCCGACTTTAACGGAACTACGCGGAGTCATAGTTTTTAGAAGGTTAATAAAGTTAGTTGAACTGTTCAACGTGAAAGTAGCGTTTGCCCAAGGTTAACGAAACGTACTCCTTGGACGTATTTACATCCGATGTTGTAGCTGACAAAGGTTTCTTGCCAATGGGGTCACCCAGGGTTACTCGGCCCTGGATCATTGTATTGAAGTCATTGGAGGGGTAACCTGTGGAAATACTGTCACCTCTGAGGATGGCCGAGCTGGAGGCCAGTAGTCATTGCAGATATAAGATCCATCTGAAGCACAAACTTTCTTCTGCATCAGATGTATCTTATTTCAAAGGCTTCATGCTCTAGACAAATTGGGCCTGCTTGGTCACGTGACCTACAGTGGGTATCAAACATCAGCAAACAGCATCCTCCCACAACAGAGAATGTTATAAGTGTTATTTACCAACTGTAAAGTCGACAGTCCTGAACTGATGAGACTACTGATGTGCTTAGTACCGTTCTGACAACAGGCTGTATTTTTGGTAAACAACACTTAAAATATGTGGTCCACTCCGTAAAAATGAGTCATAAGTCGCCAGAGCCACTTTTTGAGTTTTCATTTGTATTAGAAAGAGCAAATTGAGCGTTTTGTCTTGACGTATCACTCAGTTTGGCACACTGGTGAAAGTGGATACTCCATGGTGAAAAATGCTATGGGTTCCTATTGATTTACACTGTGCAAAATTATTCTAAGGTCTTTTTACTCTAAAGTGACTCTGGCAACTTGTGACTCATTTTCACAGAGTGGGTCACATATGATTTTCAAACTTGGAACGCTGCATCCAGGGGGAATGAACGTGGATTTTTCTGCGTTTATTCAGAACTGAATCTGCTTGCCCTGAAGAAGGTAGTCAGTTACCGAAAGTTCGGCAATCACATATTTGAGAGCACTAATTTGATATTATATTCTCGTCGATATTCTGATCAGGTTGCTACGCAGCCCTTCCATATTTCTCTGATCTACTTAAAATATACATGTACTTTACTATGAGAAAGCCGTTTTATCGGTGTTTGATACCCTCCATAGGAAACGGGACCAAGCTATGATACTCTTTAACCGACAAATTGCACAGCGTCATGCCGTCGCATCGTGGCGTCGCCTCCTTTCTCATTACTTTTATGTTGTGTTTGACACATTGCATCGTGCTGTCGTGCCGTCACGTCGCGTTGTTTTTTGATGCTGTTGCGTCGTGCCGTCGCGTCTTGCCGTCGTCTCATGCCGTCGCGTCAAGCCGTCGTAGAGTCGCATTGTGCCGTCGTGCTGTCGCGTCGCATGTCATATTATAGTTTTATGCAGACCGTCGCGTACTGCTGTCGCCTCCTGATGTCGTGCCGTCGTGTTGTGTCATTGCACCGTCGTGTCGTGCTGTTGCGTCGTGTCGTCTTCCGTCGTATCATGCCGTCGTGCCTTGCTGGTTCTAAGAATAGTTGGTGATTTTCACGGCCAAAAGAGGGGGTATGTCACAAGTCCATGAATGTGCACTGTCCTGTAGGTGCATTGGGCCTCTAAGGG